TCCTAACTATCCAAGCCTACCCGCTACATATCTGGAAATTAGAAATTACCACACTGGAAATACATAGAAATTAGATTATTCATGAAAATATTGAAATTATAAGTTACAATCTTTCACGAGTCTAGATATCTTTTTAAACAAAATTAATGTTTTAAAATAGTTTCTCTAGAATAGTAAATCATTAATTTTATAACTTGTTGTATAAATATCCCCAAACATTAGAATACTATGATAATAAACCGGTTTTTGTATTATTACAATATACTATATTACAGATAGATTTACTCTAAAAATAATAATATGTTTGGTTTTAAACATATTTATCGTGAATTGAGATGTTCAATATATTTTATACTCTCTATTTATCAAACATCAGCTATGAAAATTAATCAATGGAAATGATAGAGGGTACTGTTGCACAATTGGTGGCTCAAGCAAATGATATATTTTTTGTTTAATGTGTGAAATCAGTCACGTATTATGAAATTATATGGTATAAGGTTATAATAATGTATTGTGGAGAAATAAAAATATTGACCGATAAGAGTAATGTATAATAAATAAGAATATTGACTAATTTATTGTTAGAGAAATATAAGGTAAGTTATATGATATAATGTTNTAATGTATAATAAATAAGAATATTGACTAATTTATTGTTAGAGAAATATAAGGTAAGTTATATGATATAATGTTATTGTACAATATTGTTAGAGAAATATAAGGAAAGATAAAAAAAAAATGTTAGTATAATGAAAGGGTCCAAACAACTTTTTTAAGTAGATTTATTTAGACTCCTTCTCTTTTAATAGTATAGATAATCTCCTTCGGACTCGCGCCAAAGGAGACAGCGAAAGAATGGAGAGGGCTGAGAGTCACCGTGAAGCTCACGGCACAGAAGAGCATCAAACATAACGGGAACATCTGGTCCGATGACGTCATAGAGATTGCAAAGATTATGAGGCCGAGATCTATTGCTAAGGAGTTGAGTGGAACGGTGAGGGAGATCTAGGGCACTTGTGTTTTCCGTGGGGCTTGTAAGGAGCTTCAGGAGGAGATTGTCAGTGGTGACATTGATGTTTCCTAACGAGTGAAAAACGTTCCTTTGCAGTTGCGTTGGACAGAAATGTGGCAGTGTAACCAGTCCCTAGCGTGGTAGTTCAGTTTATTGCGTTAGCAGCAGGTCCGGCTCAAAATTCTAATAGACTCTAGACAAAACATTAAAATGTACCTTTGTTTTTTATATGTATTTTCTTATATTACTTAAAAGTATAATAATGGATTCCTAAACGTGAATTAAATGTGTAAACATTAAAATGTACCTTTGTTTTTTAGCATCTTGAAATGACAAATGGCTATTGCGAATTTCTTTTAAATAAAAAAACGTCTAGTGAATGATCTCATTTCTCTCGTTACTTCCAGTGCCAATTATGATCGTTGATTTACTAAACCAATTGTACGATGCTTAAAATATGATATATCCCACTATCAGATTTCAAGCATGGTTTTAATCTTTCTTACATAATTTATTGGACATTTTTTTGAGAAAATAATTTATTGGAGATTGCTATTAAAGCATATTAATGTTGACGTACTCTACCCTTTATATTTTATTTTGATCCAGATAGATCTATACAATATATTATATTTATATTTTAGTTAGATATATAATATATGCATGCATCAAGCATGTAAGTACAGCATTAGTTGAATATCTGGCAAAATTAAGATAAAATCAATGGGCGATATTGTTCCTATGTACAGAAGAAATTGTCTGGCGAATATCGAACAAGTTCAACTTTGTTCGGATATTGCATGTTAGGGGATCTCATTCTTATCATATTATTTTACGTTTTTCCTCAATATTTTTAAATCCAACTTTTGATTACTGTGTGAGTGTGTCAAACTGATGGTTTATTAGTTAATTTCTCAATTTTACTGTTGTCATTAGTTCCTTACTATTTTCTGTTGTAGTTGACTAAATCTTCTGTCAGTTTAGGATCCAGAATTTCTTTTGATAAATCATCTTATGTCCCATAATTAACTCCGGTTTCTTAATTGGAATTTTAAACTAATGAAAATTTTTCAGTTAAGAAACGGTTCTTATATTTTTTATATAATAGACGGTACTTAATTTTTCTTAGTTAAAATCTAGGAAAATATAAAAACCGTCTCTTAACCGAATCTAAAAACCACAGTTAAGAAATTGAGGTTAATTACGTTCTAAAGAGTCAAATTTAATTTTTATTTATATTATTGTTAAAAACATGTGGGGTGGTCTATAATTGTACATTTTGCTATTTCTTAAATTTATGACATGAAAAGTTATATTTCGATATCAACTTTTAAACGTGGGTGGGATGAGACTATTGTTTGTTGTTCACCGAACAAAACGTTAAATGCAGAAAATGCTTTTACTCTAAAAATGCAATTCTCGAAATAGGCTTTTTTTTTTTCATATGCTTGTTAGTTACATAACCTTTACAATATTGCTATTCCCTCGTATTTTGTGTGTGGAACTCTAGGTTAGATATGTATATTATACAGTAATTATATGCTAAGATAGCTCTTCCACACTAAAGTCACATATATGGATACAACAGTGATATAACTTGTAATATTTAAGTTGTGACAACGTTGACATTTGCGGAATGATTTCTATGTAAGCATAAAAACGTGCACATATAAATATATCTTAATTTGTGTTTGAGTTTAACATCCATACAACCAAGTCATCTTAGTTGGGCCAAGTAATTAATTAATGACACTAGGGATGGTTCAGGCGTTCAGTCATTGTATATAGTTTGATCATCTTGGTAGACGTGAATTCAGTTATTTCTTGATAACTTTCATCTAATGGAACAAGTTGGACTAGTTTTACAGAAAATATGGATAAAGAAAAATAAACAAGGAGATGAAATTAGACATTGCAACAACAATGGAAAACATATTTAAGGAAGGGTTAGACTTAGTTTATGCAAACACAAGAATATGTCTAAATCGAAGGTTAGTTGGAGTTGGACGGCTTAAAACAAATTTATCTTCCACTAATCATACAACTTTAAAACTAATTTAACTTTTGTTATGTTAGTTTATCGTAAGTTTATCAGCTTACCGTCGAGTATTTCTTTCATTATAATCGACTTGGTCCATCATTTAATTTTAATATAAGCTTGTCTTGTTCAAAAAAAAATTTCGTTTGCATCTGTTGAATAGCTACTTAAGTCACTTTTGGATCATCGGATGCATCGTTGGTCTCATCAAAATGTAACGTGCAGCAAATATGTTGGTGGTTGTCTAATATCTTTAGCCAGTTCTTTTTTGTCCGTTCTAACTTCAGTTGTTAGTTTTGGTATAGTTGCAGTGGTCATTGTGATTGTGTATAGTGAATCATAGTTGCTTTATATATACAAATCGAATTTATCGTCAATACCAAGACCTCCATGGAAACATGTGATAAGTTGATTACAAATAGAAAAAAATCAAAGTCAGCAATGCTAAAAAAAAATTATGATAAGGAAGTCTTGGTATAAGAGCATGATTAACTCCGGATTCTTAAGGCGGGGTTCTTAACGGAAGTTAAGAAACAGTTTCTTAACTTCCACTAAGAACTTCGCCTTAAGAACCCCGGATTAATCATGGTCTAAGATTCTGCAACTTTTAGAATGGTTCTTAAATACAATGGTTTTGGTATATGATAGTTAGCCGTGCAGTGCTACCCTAACCAATCCCCATTTACGACCAGACTGAAAATTAAATCCAGCATGCCCACTTTATAAAAACATAAATGAATGTTGATATATAAAAACCAATATCAAAAACCACTCGTGGATAGTCTAGTGGAAGGCAAATTCTGGTAAATCCTAAAATTGTGGTCACGCGGATATATGATTATGTTTTAGGTATTATTTGAATATCTGTAAAGAGAGTTTGTATCTCTACTTGATGGATTAGTCTAAGTCATTCTATAAGTTTGATATATCTCCAATGTTAAAATATAATACTGCATGCAGTTATGCAATTCCTTACTTCATAACGTTTCCAAACATAATAGCAAATTTGAGATGTTTCTCAAAATACCACCAGCTCATGAGGCATATACGGGTTTGATATGATTCCTTTCATATTTATTTTTAACATATATAATATATACTTAACTGTACATATGATATAACCATAAAATGATCTGTCTTATAATATACATAATTATGTCGAACTTTTTCACAATCTGAAAGTATATATATACACACAAATAAACCCAAGAGCTACAACAAACACTAAAAACTCATTCATTTATATTTTCTCTCCTTCCCAGCGCATCATCTTTAAGCCATGGCAAAGGACTTGGAGGTGCAAGAGGGCAGAGCGGCGAGGGATTACCAGGATCCACCTCCAGCCCCATTGTTTGACATGGAGGAGCTTGGTAAGTGGTCGCTCTACAGAGCGGTCATAGCTGAGTTTGTGGCGACACTTCTCTTCCTTTACGTCTCAATCCTCACTGTCATCGGCTACAAAGCTCAGACCGACGCAAACGCCGGAGGAGCTGATTGCGGTGGCGTTGGGATATTGGGTATTGCGTGGGCATTCGGTGGAATGATCTTTGTTCTCGTTTACTGTATCGCCGGTATCTCAGGTACGTATACTAACGTTGGAGTCACGGTACATAGATTTCCACATAACAATAAAGATAAATATAGTATAGTTTACAAAACGAATTCATAGATCAAACAAATTAATTATAGAAATACATAACTTTATATAGATATATTTGGTACCGTTTTAATTCCAACGTTTTGTGAACGTATGATATATTTTTATAACAGTTTCAATTTTCGGTTTCATATTTATTTTTCATGTTCAGTTCAAATTAGTTTAGTTCAGCTAAGTTCGGTATGTTTCACTTTGTCTCGGCTTATCTAAATTAAGATACAACCTTACATCTTAATTATTTACGTTGATAATAATTAATCAAAAGTTTGTTGTTGTTATTTAACAGGTGGTCATATAAATCCAGCTGTGACGTTCGGACTGTTCTTAGCAAGAAAAGTATCATTGGTGAGGACAGTGTTATACATTGTGGCTCAGTGCCTTGGGGCCATCTGCGGCTGCGGTTTGGTCAAAGCATTCCAAAGTTCCTACTACACCAGGTTCCATCATGTCTCAACACTCATGCGTCCAGATTTTTGACTCAATAGATTAACTAACAATAATGTATGACTACAATTTTTTTATTGACAAATTAAAAAAAAAACAAAAAAAAAAACAATTTTTTTATTGACTAATAACTTTTTTTATAACAATAATTAATAGATATGGAGGTGGAGCCAACCAGCTTGCGGAAGGATACACCAAAGGTACAGGACTAGGTGCCGAGATCATCGGAACATTTGTCCTTGTCTACACCGTCTTCTCAGCCACCGACCCCAAGCGAAGTGCACGTGACTCTCACATTCCTGTTTTGGCGCCACTTCCCATTGGTTTTGCCGTCTTCATGGTTCACTTAGCCACCATTCCCATCACTGGAACTGGAATCAACCCGGCCCGTAGCTTTGGAGCTGCAGTTATCTACAACCAAGAAAAGGCTTGGGACGACCAAGTACGTCATTAACTTTTACAATGACACATTTTATATTTGTTCAAATATACTATATGAAATGATACTAATGATGTTTAGTTATATTTGATAATTTGAGCAGTGGATATTTTGGGTGGGACCGATGCTCGGAGCAGCAGCAGCAGCGTTATACCATCAGTTTGTTCTAAGAGCGGCTGGAATTAAATCTCTTGGCTCCTTTAGGAGCTCTGCTTAATTTTAATTATTTGAATTAAGCTATCAGTGTTTCAAAAAAAAAGAATTAAGCTATCAAAAATGATGATTGTCTGTGTTAAGCGTAAGCTACCTGTATCTTTTTATTTATTTTTGTGTTATGTTTTTAAATTTCTTGGAATTTCTTATTGGTTGTAAACGTGGTTTATATTAATGTTGCTTTAAGATAAACTAGAGCTGGACCCGTCCGACCGGACGGGTATTTATTTCATTTTTTATATAAATGAATATTATTTAAATGTCTATCCATTAATATTTTTAAATATTTATCATATATCTAAATTTTTATAAACACAACAATCGAATAGTTTATGTGCTATAAAATAGTGATTCGTGTTCATTATTAAACTTTTGAAAAATTAATATTGACCTATTGATAGTTTGAATAATATTTCTTGTAATATGAAATTGTTTGCCAAATGTAAAAAGAACTTAAATATTTTGATCAAATATGGATAATATGGTAAGATTTAGATATGTTATAAAAAAGAATATTTGGTTATAAACATTAAACATTGTTTTACAAGTAATTCAATTTCAATTTCAGTATTAAATTTTCTTGTTGAAAATAATTAATAGCAACAAAAATGGTAAAACATATATTTTAGAAATTGTTGAAAAATATATAATCTTAGGTGAGATTTAATCATATTAAAATAATATTCAGTTACAAATAGTTCATGTTGTTTATAAGTAGTTTAAATATATTTAAAATCTTATTGTTCAAAATAATTAATGCTAAGTTAAACATATATTTTAGGAATATTCATAATAGTTTTTTAGTTTTGAATTTAAACTTGAATTTTCTTCAAAATAATTAATGGTAACGTTATACAAAATTTAATATTGTTAAAATTCAATTTTAAATATGAATATTCCTAAAAATCAGCTAGTTTATTTTAGGGAATATATTAATTTAAGCTAAAATTGATTTAGAAAATTGTTTAATAAATAGGAAAAGACAATGATTACTTACATATAAGTTCATTTAATTACTTCAGTGGCATGCTATTGTAAATAAAAGTGAAATCTAATGGGTATTTTATATGAGTACTTCTCTTTTAATAATATAGATATTATATATTTTAGTTTATCTATTATATTGTTACAGTAAATATTATTTATTAATTATGTTTTTTTTAGCCAAAGATTATTTATTAATTATGTATGTAGGGAATTTTCTGGTTTGAATTTTTAATTTAATTATTTTATTTGTTTAGAAAAGCTAATAAATCACTTCCACATTTTTAGGTAAATTTAGATTAAGAAAAATATATTAATAAATAGGAAAAGACAACAAAACTGAAATATAGCTAGATTAATTACTTCAGTGGCATATGATTGTAAATAACTTGAAAAATTAAGAGTTAATTTATTTGGGTACTTCTATTTTAATAAAGTAGATGTCGATTTCGCTTTTTTATTTCTTTTAGTAGAGTTAACGTTAATTTTGATTTGATTCTATTTCTCTTGGGAATCGATGGATGTCACGTATGTTTACAATAAAGTACAAGAAGAACGTCATCAATGATTAATTTAAATATAATAACAAACTCTGTTAAACATATTAAGATAAGTGCATAAGAAAATGTATTTGAAAACTCTATTTGAAAACTCTGTTAAACATATTAATATAAATGCATAAGAAAAATAAACCAAAAGCTCTTGGTCTATTGGTAATGGAACTAGAGTTATCTTGGCCATATTCCCACCTATAACAGTGTGTGTCTGAACGAAGGTCTCGTGGGGATTAGTCTGGATTTACTGTCTGAGATCCTCCATGATTATAAAAAGAAAAAATGAAAATGTATTTGAGGCACTCACCCAATGCCTGATGCTCTAACAATTCTACATGTAATTTATAACTACTGTAAATGTTATACCCTTAAATAAAATTTAGTCAGCTGTCAGAAAAAAAAAAACTTTATCCAGTTTGGACTTTGGATTCAGTTACAAAATTCTGGTGAGAGCCCACTAAATCTGGTCATCTATCAGTCAAACGAAATAAGTACTTGCCGTAATAAACTCAAATCCAACGCCAAAACGACAACGTTCCACGTAACTACTTAACCAACTTTTTTTGAGAAAACTACTTAACTAACTTCTCAGTGTGATCAAAGTTTCCACACAAAAAATGACTTCCCGCGTTTTCCTCCTCCTCTCTCTCACCACTCTTCTCATCTTCTCCTCCGTTTCTCCTTCTTCATCCACCGACGTAGACGATGAAGAAGAAGATCTCACCTTCCTCGAAGACCCCAAAGAAGAACCAGAAGCTCCCTCTAAGCCACTTTCTGACGACGACGAAGAGGAAGAAGAGGAAGAAGACGGAGACTTCTCCCATATAACCAACGCACACTCTGCTCCCTTCCCGGCTCCTGAAGTCGACGAGAAAGACGTTGTGGTCATCAAGGAGCGTAACTTCACTGACGTGATAGAGAACAACGAGTACGTGATGGTTGAGTTCTACACGCCTTGGTGTGGTCATTGTCAGTCTTTTGCTCCTGAGTACGCGTTAGCCGCGACGGAGCTTAAGGGAGACGGCGTCGTTTTGGCTAAGATTGATGGGGCGGAGGAGAGGGAGTTGGCTCATGAGTATAGTGTTAAGGAGTTCCCGTTTATTCTCTTCTTTGTTGATGGTGAGCACATGGCTTATACTGGAGGGAGGACCAAGTAAGTTATAGTAAAGTTTAAGTCTTTAGTGTGATTTTTATTGAAAGTTTGAATCTTTAGTTTGATTTTTATTTAAAGTTTGAATATTTATGTGATTTTTATTGAAAGTTCAAATCTTTAGTGTGAACTGTATTGAAAGTTCAAATCTTTGGTTTGATTTGTATTGAAAATTCAAATCTTCAGTGTGATTTGTATTCAAAGTTCAAACTTGAAAACAGTTAGTTTCATTCAGCCTAAATCTTACCGAATTAATCCAAAATAAAGTTTGGTTAGTTCGATTTTTGAAAATTTTACCGGAGTTTTTGATCTTCGTTAGATTTCGGTTTAATTTTATTAAATTTTCGGATACATTCGGTTAGTTAGGTTCGAAAGCTGGTTAGTTCGGTTAGTTTTGGTTTTTGCCTTTTGGTATAGTTTGGGTATAACTTTTTCTTTTTGAAAAAGAAAAAAACCGAAGTAATCAATTGCCAAACCAAACCGAAAACCAAATTTTTTTTAGAAAACCTAACGAATCAAGCTGGGGGCTGTTCGTTTCTCCATTTATAATCTCCATTCAGCTGATCCATTTATGTGATCCATCTAAATGATCCATCCAGATTTTAGGGATTGTTCGTTTTTCCATCTAGATGAGTCATCTAAATGAATCATTTTGAATGAATTTCATGTTTGTTTCTTTTTTTTTATTTCCATTCAAATGAGTTTGATAAACAAATTACATATATACCCTTGTTTTGATTTAATCATATGTTTGCTATTAATTATAACTATACTAATTAATATTATTTAGTCTAAAATATATTTAAACTAAATCAACCTCCAACAATGCGGGAAAATGCATTTTTGCTGTTTTGGCGGAAAAACGAGATTTTTCGGATTTGGCGGGAAAACGAGATTTTTCGGTTTTTAGGGAAAACGAGATTTTGTGATTTTAGCGGGAAACGAGATTTTGTGATTTTGGCGGGAAAACAAGATTTCGGATTTGGCGGGAAAACGAGATTTTTCGGTTTTGGCGGGAAAACGAGATTTTTCGGTTTTTAGGGAAAACAAGATTTTTCTGTTTTTTAGTGAAAACGAGATTTTTCGTTTTTTTAGGGAAAACGAGATTTTGTGATTTTGGCGGGAAAACGAGATTTTGTGAGTTTGGCGGGAAAACGAGATTTTTGGATTTGGCGGGAAAATGAGATTTTTCGGTTTTGGCGGGAAAACGAGATTTTTCTGTTTTTTAGTGAAACGAGATTTTTCGGATTTGGCGGGAAAACGAGATTTTTCGGATTTGGCGAGAAAACGAGATTTTTCGGGTTTTTTTAGGGAAAACGAGATTTTGTGATTTTGGCGGGAAAACGAGATTTTGTGATTTTGGCGGGAAAACGAGATTTTTGGATTTGGCGGGAAAACGAGATTTTTCGGTTTTGGCGGGAAAACGAGATTTTCGGAATTGGCGGGAAAACGAGATTTTTCGGTTTTTAAGGAAAACGAGATTTTTCGGATTTGGCGGGAAAACGAGATTTTTCGGATTTGGCGGGAAAACGAGATTTTGTGGGTTTTTGCAGTTTTCGTGTGTCACAGAATAATTTTATGTTTAAGTTTGTAACTTGTGAATTACAACAGGGGTATAATAGACATTATACCATTTTGAATGAACCATCTCCATTCAAATGATCCAAATTCGTTCAGCTGAATGAACTTTAAAATTAAGTCTAAATTTCCAAAAATCATTCAAATGGATCATCTGAATGAATTGTACTTTTTGTGTCTAAACGAACAAAAAGCTCATCTCCATTCGAATGGATCATTTGAATGAAGAAACGAACAGCCCCCTGAGCTTCTAACTGAACTAGCCAAATTTCGGTTAGGTTCGACGAGTTGTTAGGTTCAAAATCTCATGCGGTCATGCCTAGTTCAAAATTTTAGTGTGATTTGATTTGTATTGAAAGTTCAACTCTTTAGTGTAAACTGCATTACTGTGGCGTTTCTTGGATTTTATTAAAGTTAGGGTTACTGATAAAAGCTTCCTCCTTTGTGATTTAGAGAAACAATAGTGACGTGGGTGAAGAAGACGATAGGTCATACCCTGTACAACCTCACCACTTTAGATGATGCTGAGAAAGTGTTGACTTCTGGAAACAAAGTCGTCTTGGGTTACTTGAACTCTCTAGTGGGTGTTGAGCATGATCAACTTGCTGCTGCTTCCAAAGCTGAAGACGACGTGACCTTCTACCAAACCGTGAATCCTGATGTCGCCAAAATGTTCCACATTGATCCTGAGTCTAAACGTCCTGCTCTTGTCTTAGTTAAAAAAGAAGAGGAGAAGATTAGCCATTTTGGTTGGTTGTTTAAAATCTTTATCATGACCATTTGATTTTAGCTGTAATATTTTGCTTATTATGTTATTTGCAGATGGGGAGTTTGTGAAGTCTGCTCTAGTTAGTTTTGTCTCTGCCAACAAGCTTCCTTTGGTCACTGTTTTAACACTAGAGAGCTCCCAGAAGATCTTTGAGAGTGCAATCGAGAAGCAGGTGTGTCTAAATGTTTTTAGTGATGGCTTAGTGAAGTTACTAACATGAACTTATATCTTTGTCTTTGCAGTTGCTGTTGTTTGCAAACAAAAATGACTCTGAAAAGGTTCTTCTAGAGTTTGAAGAAGCAGCAAAATCATTTAAAGGAAAGGTAATAGGAACATAGTTACTCTGTTTCACATCAAGGCAACTTCTGAGAAGTCTTTTGTTTCTTGTAACAGCTCATCTTTGTATATGTGGATGTGGATGATGAGGACCATGGGCAGCCAATTGCTGAATACTTTGGTGTGTCTAGCCCTAAAGTAAGTAATTTCTTATTGTTTCCTTTTATAGGTTTGAGAGAGTTGCATATTTTTTTTGACATGTATGGAGATTCCCTTTTGGTCTGTGTGTGTGTGTAGCTTGTTGCCTTCACAGGAAATGAAGATCTTAAAAAACACTACTTCGATGGTGAAATCAAGTCAGATCAAATTAAGATATTTGGGGAAGAGTTCTTGAGTGATAAGCTAACGCCTTTCTATAAGTCAGACCCTATTCCTGAAAAGGTAAAAGAAAGAAACTCTTACTTATATCATTCATGTAAACAATGGACTTCAAACTTTTGGTGTCTACAGAATGATGGAGATGTGAAAAGTGTGGTTGGAGATAACTTTGATGAGATTGTTCTGGACGAGTCTAAGGATGTTCTTCTCAAGGTCTATGCACCATGGTGTGGACGTTGCCAAGCACTTGAGCCAATGTATAACAAGCTTGCCAAACATTTAAAAGGCATTGATTCTCTTGTCATAGCTAAGATGGATGGAACAACCAATGAACACCCCAAGGCAAAGGTAAACAACATCTTTAATGAATGTATTTGAAGTCTCAAGAGTTGCTTGATATACAATTATTTGCAGGCTGAAGGGTTCCCTACGATACTATTCTTCCCTGCAGGAAACAAGACCTCAGAACCGGTATGTTTCTGCTTCTTGGCTGCAACGGTTTTGTGTTCTTGAATTTCTCTCTGAAACAGAGAATTTGTGTTTTTTTTTGTATTGTGTGTGGAGTAGATAACGGTGGATACAGACCACACTGTGGTTGCATTTTACAAGTTTATGAGGAAACATGCAACGGTTCCATTCAAACTGGAGAAGCCTGCATCAACTGAATCTCCTGAAACTGCCGAGTCCACACCAAAAGATGAAACTACTGAGACCAAAGAAAAGCCTGAGAGCACCAAAAGTGATTCCAAGGACGAGTTGTGATCCCAAGTTAAGCAAAATGGTATTGAGTTATAGAAATACATCTCCTTAAAGTTATGTTGTATGATCAAGTTATATTAGTTTCAGAGTCTTGAATCTGGTTTCAAAGGCCAGCTTGTTGAACTGTCAAACCTTAAGTATATGGTAACACAACCAAGGAACAGAAAAGATGAATAATAAATGAAAAATATAAACCTAATACTACTGCAAACATTTCATTTGTAGAGATTGGGAAAGTTACAAACCTTACTAACAATACAACGGTTGTATGTTTAAAGAAAGCAAAGACAAGCGAAACAACAGTCTTTCCACTTTTCTTATACAAATCATACACAACCATTAACCAACTAATGAAGATTCATCTTTCCACATTTTTGCCTCTACGAAGCATTTAGATGATGCTGAGAGGTTGTTGCATCCAGCGTTTGAGCATGGTTCAGCTCCTGCTCCAACCTTCTGGCTTGCCATCTACGTTTCCATCTCACAAACTCAACCATCACTGAACTTCCACATATGCAGACACCAAATCCAGCAAATGTTGACAAAAGAACTGACAGAACTGGTTGCAACTTCACCTGTTACAAACCAAGTGATCTGATCTTAACAACAACAACAAAAACAAATTTGAGTCTATAAAAGAGATGCGTTGAAGAGTACTAACCAGGGTATAAAATACATGGGCGAAGAGAACCACCAAAGCAAACTGAACTGATGCGTATATCCACACAAATCTTCTCATTACTGCACAACATTCAATCCATAACCAAAAACACATCAGATAAGAGAGGAGCACATTTAACAAAGTTTGTTAAAAAAAGAGTACTTACCCATGGTTGATGCAGTCATAGATGCAAGAAGACCAAGAATACAAGAAAATGGTAGTGATATCGCTATTGCACCTGTACCCATATTCTCAACCTGCAAAATCAAACTTACTCTTAATACTAGTAGAGATGCTTCTTATTGTTTACATAAACAGTAGAGATGGTTTACCAGGAGCTGCTCAAGGAAGCAGAAGTAAGCAAGCATGCTGATGATTACTAAAACCGGAACCTCCTGCCAAACTCTGTAGGGAAATAACCATTTTAACCAAAAAGAAAGTTTGAACACTCTTATGATAGATATAAGAGTAATTTTTTTTGTACCTGTAACCATTTACATCAAGCTGATGAACACCAGAATTTCGAATGCTTTGGATCCGTAGGAGTGTTACAGGTAAGTTCTTAACTTCTTGTTTACACACCTCACAGGTTTTGTTACCCTTTATGGTGAACCATTTAAGAGCACAGTCTTTGTGAGCAAGAGCAAGTTCTCCTTTGCAACTACACTCCATTTTCAAAGTTTCTCCTCCTTCACAAAGATCCACCAAACAAATCCTACAAACTGCTTCATCCTCAGGTATGTCTTCTCCATCACCATCACATGTTTCTCCATCAGCCTCTGATGCATTTGATAAAACGTCTCCTTCTTTTACACGAGGAGTGGAAGGGATTACTCTGAAGAAAGAATCCACTCTCTTTAGGCTTGCTTCCTTGCCATTAATAGGGACAGAGAGAGATCTAGCTATCTGCACCCTTCCTTTGCTTACACTTGGAGTTTGAGGAGCAGCACTGCTTCCTCCATGAGCTGACTCTGACTTTGAAAGAACAATGGGAGTCACAGGTAGAGATGAAGTTCTCTTGATCCTAGGAGTAAACAGCTTTGAAAGTGATAGTGATCTTGAGATTGAAGGCTTCTCTTGCAATGCAGAAGGAGAAGGTACATCCACTTGTCCCTTTTCAATATCAGTTTTTGGTTTGCAGCCAACTTTTGGGATTAGATTCTTCAGGGAAGATTTTCCCCGCGGAAGAACAGTAGAGGAAGCAGCAGGACCAGGAGAAGTTGAAGTCAAAGAGAAGTTCACTCTTCTTGGAGTTGGACTAGGAGTTGGAGGCATTTTGATAACAACTGAGTCTTCAAGAGAGAGACCAGTTGCTCTTGAAGGTATCTGCAGAGATAGATTCTTTCTCCTCCATTGTTGAACATTTACAGAAGTCTCTTCTGTTATAGCAGCAGCAGAGGATCCTTCTGCCTTCTTATTTAAGAACAAAGATGAAAGTAATACAAGAGTTCTATTAGAACTTAAACAGCACATCAGTTATAAACACTAATCAGACACCAAGGTTTCCCATAACATTTGATCTGCTCCAATAGTATTATTTTTTTAACCAGCAATTAAACCAAAAAAAAATAATCTCTAATTCATTCAAAGATGAACTTCACTGAAACCAAGATTCATACATGCATATGTTGTGTGTGTTATATGTACCTGATTTGAAGAATCACCATGGCTTGAATCAAGAGGCTTCTCCTCAGTAGCCATCACTATAACAAACAAGGAGAGGTTGATTACAGACAAACCTTTCAATATCCTTACAAAAGTCTAAACTATTCTCAACCAAGCAAAAGCAGAAATGAGAGAGGAAGAGAAACCTTAAACAATAGAGGAAAAAAACAGAGAGTTTTATTAATGATACAGTCGTTACAAGCTTCCACAGTTAGTTAGAAGAAAAAGCGTGACACATGACACACTAACAGCAGCAAGTAGAAACAAAACCCACAAGTACAAGAAACAAAAGAAACGTCCCTTAAAAACAGAAAAATACAAAATTTGCTGAAGACCCGCCCAAAAGGAAGAGAGTTTGAAACAAGAAAGAGGGAGGTTGTTTCTTTTATCTTCTCGAGATTGGTGCTTATAATCATGGGGGGAAGAAGAATGAGAAAAAGGAATGGAGGAGGAGAGAAAAAAGCATGATTCTCATATATGTAGAGATGGGCCTACCTCTCTGCTGTTTCTCTAAAGATTTGCCCACTTCTCTATTCTCATTTTACATACTTTTCTGTTTTTTTCTTCTTTTTTTTATGCTATTTTGAATGTAAATTCTAAAATTGGTTTCTGGATATGTCACGAGTGTTGGACTTATAAATTTTATTAAATGTGAGAGCCTACCATCATTTATGTGGAAAAGAAAACAATATTATACTGTACTCACTTACTGGCTTCAATTTTTTTTTCTGAAATTTAGCTTCAGATATTTGTTTTGATATATATCAATTTCTCAAATGTTAAGCAAAAAAAAAATTGTTATGATATAGAACGAACAAATATGTTTACTAGTGTTAGTTAATGCATGAAACGTACAACTATCTATCTTATTAAAGTTGTAGTACTCTTTAGGTTTGTTTGGAAACTTAAATAGTAGTAATAAAGAGTTTAATGTTGTTTGGCTATAAGTTTAATAGAGTTGGGCTTTTAAACATTGTTATAATAGAATTGGACTTTTGTTTAATTTATTTTATGTTATGGTTGGCTTTAATCATTTGCCCTATTGTAGTAATTTGTGTTTTTAGTTTATATTTTATATAAAGACCATATTCAATTTTATTTATTGTTGACTAAATTAAAAATAACATCTTTTTTTTTTGTAACACAAAAAAAAATAACATCTATCTTATTAAAGTTGTAGTACTCTTTAGGTTTGTTTGGAAACTTAAATAGTAGTAATAAAGAGTTTAATGTTGTTTGGCTATAAGTTTAATAGAGTTGGGCTTTTAAACATTGTTATAATAGAATTGGGCTTTTGTTTAATTTATTTTATGTTATGGTTGGCTTTAATCATTTGCCCTATTGTAGTAATTTGTGTTTTTAGTTTATATTTTATATAAAGACAATATTCAATTTTATTTATTGTTGACTAAATTAAAAATAACATCAGTTTTTAAGATAATAACAATTTACATTTCAAATAATTTAATACTCAAATATATTTTATCTAAAGTATTTTACATTATTCAAATTATCATAAAGACACAAAATATTTGAATAGTTCTAAAATATTAAAATTTTGTTTTCGTAACTGGATATTTATCCGAAACACCTATCCCCCCCCCCAAAATCAGTTTTACCCCGATTAATCTAAAATTAATCCTAGAAATCGTAACCAAACCGTTATCATATTGGAACCAAAAATTTATCTGATATTAGTCGGTTATTATAATTATTACCAAACTGAGTTCAAACCAATTTATATAGATAACAGAACATATCTTATATAGATAACAGAACATATCTTATATCTGTAGAATTAAAAAAACTATGAACATAAAGAATCCAACAAAAGTTGAACCCAAAATCAAACCCCAATCCTATTACATTTAATACGATCATAATTTTTGAAATACGGTTTTTGAAATACGGTAATAACCGATGACTTATGAATATATTATACTTTTCCAAATTAAGTTAAACCCGCGCCGGTGCGCGGGTCAAAATCTAGTGTTACTTAAGCCTTTTTCAAAAAAAAAACGTTCAACTATGTTACTTATGATTTCTACTTATTTTATATTGACCGAATTTTATACCAGCAGTAAGCTTATTTATTGTTCATATTTTTGGGAAAATGATTACAATTTAATTTGACAATGTATTCATCAACAATATATAGGATACACACAGCCACGCAAACACAATCCTAACAAAAGAAGCCGGTAGAAAATCTACAAAATATACAAATATTTTGGAAAAAAAGGTAAAACCTTTATTGTGTACCTATCCCACAAAAAAAACTAATGTGTGCTACTGTGCTGCGGTGCCACACAATTAAATAAGACATAACAATCGTTTTCTTATTGAAAGTTTGTGTTCCAAACAAAAAAAAAAAATAACAATCGTTTTCTTAATTACATTCAGTGTGCAAGTTTGACATGTGTATAGTGTTACAGTGGCTTTTTCTTTCTTAATTACATTTTGTGTGGATTTTTCTTTTGATACTGACCCAAGTTTCCTATATCACGATCATGAGTCATGTGTGAAGAAGTTTGTGCTTATTTAGGTGGCGTAATTATCTCATTTAATAATTATTCTATACGACAACTTTGGATATGATAATGTGATGTGATTTGCCACTTTCTATCTTTTTATTTGTTTATGTATAAGTCCACGTTAATATGCTTCAGGTTGAAAAAAACAAAACAAAACCGAAATTATATATACTGCATTCTGTTTATTTCCTCATGACCGCATATATATTTTGATGACGAATAATTACAAACATAAGTACTATATTAGTATTGAAATATTAGATACTGATTTCGAATATCAAAAAGATTATAAGTAACAATATCATAACTCTCATACTTTTAAAAGAACATAATCAGAACATTAGTAGTTTATGATAATATAACCAGTGTGTCATCATATAAGCTAAAATTCATATACTATATGTTATTAGTAAAAAAAAAGCTAAGAGCCACAAACATACGGAACCTTAAAAAGTTAGTTATGTAATTTGTGTGTGTTCTACACACATATTTATATATAAATGCTGGATTTAAAATGAAAGATAAAGTCGATATAATATTTTATTTGAATTCGGGTTGGAATAATGCTTAAAATTAAAGTGACTTTATTTACATGTTTTGCTTCTTACGAAGAAGAAATCACTCCTTTTTAAAACATTGTAGGAGTAATCACTTATATGAATAAAGCTACTTTTGACTTGATTTCAAAAACCGCCAATCTTCATCGGAGGTGTTAAGCTGAAGTTTACACGTTTTTATTGAATATTTTGTGTCTCACTATTTGTGTAAGTCATCTTTGTTGCTCTAATACTTATGATGAACAAAATCATTCTCTACAATAGTTCATATCAAAAACAAGAAAGATGAACTCGGAAATAAGGACTAAGCCATATAGAGTATAATGGTTTATGATAGTATTGTTGTTGTGTCAATACATGTGTCATGTGTGTGATTTGTACGATTAAAAATGGTGTAGTTGGTAGATGTCAAGTATCTATTTTTTTTTTTAACTTTTCATAATAACACTTACATACAATTAATTCATAACATAGATTAAAACGACCACAAAAACATAGTGATTTCAAGATACACATAGCGAATACACATCTAACAACTTGCATGTGTTTTGGTCCACAAGATCTTAAACATATTGACCCAAAAAATAATCACGATTTAGTAATTAACATGCTAATTTATTATGGAAATTTTAAACCTATACGAGCATAACAATATATTTGGCTACATAATCCCATTTAGTATAAGGATACCATGAAATTAAAAGTCATATAAATAAGTAAAAGACAAAAGAAAAATCTTGATCGAGTATATATTTGGATTGAAATGTTCTTAGTATGAGAGTGGCCAAATTATTTGGATTGAAATGTTTTTAGTATGAGAGTGGCCAAATTACCTACCGATTACGTAAAAGTAAAAGTTTCCAATCCAAATTACCAGAATTGGCCGACACACGAAAGAGTAAAGCATATTCGTAGGCAAGCACTCTCTCGTTCTCTCTCTCTCCATGTATATGTACAGCACTACAATATTACTAGGTGATTTTCCCGTGCTCATGCACGGGTATGAATATTTATAAAAGTAAAATTTTATAATCACTGATTGATATTAGTTTTAGTTTTAGTTTTGAAGCAATTTATATGTATAATTTATATTAATAAATATTAAATTATTCTAATTATACATATGACTTTGGATTTATTATTATCGGTTTAATTATTTTTTTTTATCAATAGTCGGTTTGGTTATCAATTTGGTATATTGGATAATATATATTTTTCAAATTCAGCTATAATATTTTAATTCTAAATAGAATAAAACTTTGATTAATTTTCTTATTCTTATTTCGGTTGATTATTGTCTTTAGATATGTAAATATATTATAGTCAAATTATGTATAACTTAATATATATTGTGCTTAAAATGAAATAAATAATAAGATGAAGTGTTTGATTCAAAATTACATAAATGAATATAATGATAATATTTTAAAGTCACATGCATATAAATTGATTAATATTTTTTTAATACACTTTGAGTCAATCTCTAATTTATATGTATAAAATTAAATATATTATTATTATAAAATTATAAGATGTTTAATTTTGGATATAAATTAGATCAGTCGAGTCATTCATTTTGTGAGTATATTGAGTTAAATATATTTTTAAATTAAAATTGAAGTATAATTACTTTTTATTTTAGTCAAGTCATATCAAATTAGTTTTATTTATCGCTTAAATATACATGTATTTTCATAATATTTA